TCGTTAGTATGGTTATGATTCGGCCTGGTTAGCCCTATGCTAGCTCTCATGGCGCCTGATAGGTAGGCAACATCTTGCCTGCTGTGCATGCTTGTCAGGGACCTGCGTAGGGCGGGCGGCATTGGGCACCTCTCAGCGAGCGCTCGGGATTCCACCGGCGAGGTGCCCGCGCGATCCACGCGCTGCCACAAGCTGCCACCGCAACGGCCCGCCAAATGACGGGCACCTCCGGGCACCTCAGAGGCGGCGAAACGCGTTGGTGTGAGAGAGACGCTCAGCTAGTGGGCAAGAGCCCACGGGCACCTCGTTGCCCGCCGGGCAGGGCAGGGCCGGGCGCTCTATAGGCGCTCCGGGCGGGCAGTGGTCACTTTTTTCACGCGCGCAGAGCGAGGTGCCCGGAAAGTGCCCGCCCTACGCAGGTCCCTGATGCTTGTATTGCGGGGTGGCCTACCCCAAATCTCGCAGGCGCCGGGCTCCCAGTAATTTGCCGAACAAATCAGGGAAAAACGGACGCACTTTCTGGACGATCCACCAGCAGCCCAGTGTTGATACCCGCCCCACTTTCACCAGAGTAGCATGTGCAGTGTTGGTACCTGCCGCACTTGCACAACAGAGCAGCCTGTGCAGTTTTGGTACCCACCGCACTTGCACCCACAGTCGCGTGTGGAGCGTTTGCTGACCGTCGCTGAGGCTCATCCTCTTACGCGTCCCTCCCTGTCAAATCAGAGTTCCATATTTTCCACATTTTAGCCGGCCGGGCCGGGCAGTGCGCTGCGCACTCGCCTCACTGCCCCGCCGCCGTTCTCTCGTCTTCCTTACGACTCGAAACGGCAGAGAAAGCGTTTGGAGCTCGGCTCTGCGACCTTGAACGGGTTGTTGAGGCTGCCCCGCGATTTCCGCTCTTCGGGTAGTTTGAAAATGGCGCACATTGGTGGTTGCACTTCGGCGACTCACTTTCCGTTCCCTGCTCTCCCGTCAGAGCACCGCGATTTGTATTCTCAGCGAGCGCTTTTGACCCTCCGCGGTGTGAGGGTGGGTGGCACCCCTGCGACGACACGCCGCGCCACCCAGCTGAGGGGAGGGGTGCGTGCCGACCGCGTGTGTAGGCAGAGGCCACGCAGGAAGCAAAGATGCACGTTTAATTTAATCTTCTTTAAACGAATATTGGTATCGGCGTGGAGGTGTGGTGATTGACGCCGATGGCTGAAGGGGGGCGCCTCCAGCCTATAAATACCAGAGGCAGGCGGCCTACCGACTGAATGGCAAGAACATCTACTCTGTTTGTACTGTACATCCACCCCAGCCCGCCCCGCCCAGCTGCGTGGGGCGCAGGGGCCAAATACCCGGGTGAACACAGTTGAGTAGGGCTCTGCCGGCTCTGTAAGGCCATGGGCCGACCGAGTCACCGCGGAATAACAGATCCCTCATCATTGGCGTTGATCCAAAGCTGTTGTCACTCATGTCCCCTCTGCCACTTGCGGCATCTCCCTCTTTCTGCCCTCTTTTTATTATTTGCCCTTTGCCGCCTTTGGTCAATGGTCACTGGCAGTGCTTTAGAGACCCACCGCCGCGTCACGTATAGGGTGAAGACCAAGCTATTGACGTAACGCATCCGTTTTAAAAATGATGTATGAAAATGAAATCTATGGAATGTGCCACCCACCCAGGTGGAACACAATCGTCAAAAACTTATCAACAACCCTTGTGTGGCGGCGTCAAGTTGGGCTCAATCTGGCTACCTAGCCGCAGATAATGTTGACGGTGGGCGTCAAAATAAAGGTCATTTTGACATCAATTTGATAAACGTGATCCACCTGGGCATGTGACAGATTTACCACGCGTGAGTACGTTAACTGCTAAAACAACAAAACAAACTCACGGATCCCTCCCTCATAGGTTTTCCGCTCTCTCAAATAGTTTAAGTGAACCGAATGTCGATATCGGCGGTGAAAAGATGTGTCGTTGTCGTTACACAATACAATACGCACAAACTGCGTTCGTCGTCAACTGTACTGCAATATCCGTTGCGCCGTTCGAGAAATGTTGACGAATTCAAAGTAATTATTTTCTCTTTTCTTTTCAGATCATGAAGGGGCTCTCGACAGATCGGCCGTTCGAGTGCAACATCTGCCAAAAGAAATTCTCTAGAACTGACACCTTGCGTGATCATCTTCGAACACACACAGGCGAAAAGCCTTTCGAGTGCGCTATCTGCCGAAAGTCTTTTACCCAATCTGGGAATTTGCGTAAACATCTTCGAACACACACAGGCGAGAAGCCTTTTGAGTGCGCCGTCTGCCGAAAGTCTTTTGCCCGATCTGAACATTTGCAGGCTCATCTTCGAACACACACAGGCGATAAGCCTTTTGAGTGCGATGTTTGCCAAAAGAGGTTTGCCCAACCTGGACATTGGCAGACTCATCTTCGAACACACACAGGCGAAAAGTCTTTTGAGTGCAATGTTTGCCAAAAGAAGTTTTCTGAGAGTGGGCATCTAAGCAGACATTTCCGAATCCACACAGAAGAAAAGTCATTTGAGTGCGTCATCTGCCGGAAGTCTTTTACCCAATCTGGAACTTTGCGTGATCATCTTCGAACACACACAGGCGAGAAGCCTTTTGAGTGTGCCGTCTGCCGAAAGTCTTTTGCCACATCTGGATCTTTGCGTGATCATGTTCGAACACACCACACAGACGATAAGCCTTTTGAGTGCGCCGTCTGCCGAAAGTCTTTTGTCAAATCTGAATATTTGCGTAAACATCTTCGAACACACACAGGCGATAAGTCTTTTGAGTGTACCGTTTGCAAAAAGAAGTTTGCGCAACATGGGCACTGGCAGACTCATCTTCGAACACACACAGGTGAAAAGTCTTTTGAGTGCAATGTTTGCCAAAAGAAGTTTTCTGAGAGGGGGCAACTAAGCAGCCATTTCCGTATTCACACAGACGAAAAGTCATTTGAGTGCGTCATCTGCCGGAAGTCTTTTACCCAATCTGGAACTTTACGTGTTCATCTCAGAACACACACAGGCGAGAAGCCTTTTGAGTGTGCTGTCTGCCGAAAGTCTTTTGCCACGTCTGGAACTTTGCGTAAACATTTTCGAACACACAGAGGCGATAGGCCTTTTGAGTGCACCATCTGCCGAAAGTCTTTTACCCGACCTGGAAATTTGCGTAGTCATCTTCGAACCCACCTCGACGACGACTAGCTCTTCGGTAAACGTTAAACCTCTGTGGTTTCATCTTCAAACCGCAACGGTCAAGTCTTTTGATTCGCACTGTGCGCCATACGAAGCTATACATTTCAAGAGCTGTAAAGATATGTACTCTGGATTGGCTTTCTGAAATATATACTCTTAAATTATTTGTCATGTTGTTCTATTGACCTTATTTTTCTGGATTGTCCGAAAATCAAATCCGCTGCTATGATACTTAAGTGGCAGAGTTTGTAAGAATTAATGTTATCTGTCTGATTTTGTTAAATAATACACCCGCTTTATAATATTTCCATATACGTTGTAAATTTACATATTTTTCACGGATCGCCCGAGCGCTCCCCCCTCCCTAACCGCGGCGCGCGGGGCGAGTCATCGTGGCGCTGCACCACTATTTGGCTTTGGCGTCACGACGAGATGCTTTCGAATAAATTAAATTTGAGAGTAAACGAGCGCCATGCTAGGCCGGACGCATACTGGACTTTGGCCGGACATTGTGGCACTTATCGCTGGAGAGCAGCCAAGTCTTTCCCCCTCCCTGGTGACTATGCTCACTCTGTGTTCTTTATTCTTTTCCCGGGCAGAGTGGACTGCATTGACTTTGTGATTGCAGTAGAAAATATGAAGCCTATCACGGCCGAATTCTGGTAGCCTTTCGCTTTCGCCCAACTGACGGAGGATTGTTTCAGGCTTTGTGTAATTAACTACAACCAAAATGTATTTTTTTCTTGCGCGTAAGTATTCATTCGAATTTGGAATGGAAAACGCATAGGGTTTTTAGCAGATGATACCTTAAATACCTTTCGACTAAACATAAAGAATATGTAAGTAACACGAAAAAAAAAGAATTAGCTAAATTAGCTAATGCATTCGCTAATATGGCCTTAGATGAGAATATTAGCTTTCCTAGCTAATTCCCAGCTAAGAAAGCTAAAATATTAGCTTTCACAGCTAGTTGCTTTATTTTGTACACAACTGTTATGGCTAA